ATGATCATAAATAGAAGTCTGATAATGCCATACCTGTGGGAGGTGGCGAATGTGAACAATATTTTTTCAAAGTCCCAAGATTTTATTCGTAATTCGAACGATTTGTACCAGTATGGCGCCACTTTTTCCCTCTACTACAAGTATGGCAAATATAATAATGGTCACATTGTATCGTATAATTTCCAAAAATCCAAATGCCATACTGGTACAAATCGTCAATTTTTTTTTTTCTTTTTCACCTTTTAGCTCAAGTCCGACAGTCATCCGCCCCATGTTTACAATCTGTAATAATTTTTTTTACGTACAATTGCATCCAAATGACGAGAATACAATGATGTCATGATGTAAAAAATGATTTTACGTATTTTGCAGTCGTATTTTCAAATAAATAAGTATTTCAAGTATGGCAGCACTTTTTCCCCCTACTAGAAGTATGGGAAAAATAATAAGGGTCACATTTTGCCAAATACTTTCCAAAAATTCAAATGCAATACTGGTACAAATCGTTTGGCGAAAAAAAAAAAATTACTCCTTTGCAGCGGTATGGCGGCCATTGGGAACTGTTGGAAAAGTATGGCAAGGTGATTTTCGTGAATGGCTACTCGACGATGATTAGCTGTGCAAAAATTAGCCTGGTACAAATGGTTGAATTGTTTTATTTAAATTAATGTATTCGCGTCGGTATGGCGGGCTGTAAGTCACACCCGAGAAGTATGGCATTACGCTACCGCCTACTTCTTTTTTTCGACTATCTGAAAATATAAGCATTTTTGTGGAACAAATCGTTCGACACTCGTTATTTATCCGACGCGTTCGATTAACGCCCACGCGATTGGGCCGCCGGTGCGAGCGCTATGACCATCATTTTCCTTTTTGCCTTTACGTAATTAGACCCCTGAAGAACCGCCATACTGGTACAAATGACCAAGTATTTTGTGTCATCATCTCCCGGTCTATAGGCCTATTAGGATCCATATCGGAAAGTAGTGTGCGTCGTAATCATATAATATTCCATACGCGTCATGGATTTTCTTCATTGCCACAACGCGTTGAGATCGAATAGCATGTCAGCCACGACACGAATTTTGCTATTTGGTCTTTCTGTGATTGCCGCAACGTCGTGCGCGTTTTTATTAGAGCCATAACACGAATTTCGCCATGTGGATGTTTTACTGTGACCACAACGCGTTGTGAGCTATTTTTCCGCTCACTGAGCGTTTTCGATTTTTGAGCGTAACATATATATTAAATACTTCGCCTCACACTAGGATTTCCTTCTGTATCGTAGGTGTAATTCAAACATATAATCTCACATGCACATTGCACATACGCCCATACCAGGACGAATTTCTGTAGGCCATACAAAATATCTACGGCGTACGGGAATCGAACCCGCGACCCTTGCGCAGTAGGCGACGACCTCTGCACTAGCCGTGACGTCAAACAAATATAGAAAACCATTGCAAAAACTAATATTTTAGTTTTTAACTAAGAATATGAAGAAATAATAAAATAGAAACTTCAAAAATCTTTATTTAATATCTAGTATAACCTCCCTCTGCAGCTATGACGGCACGTAGTCTACCTCGCATTGATGCAACAAGATGCGCGAATAGATCGGTCCCTCTAATATCATCCCATACTCGAGCATAATGTGATTTAAGATCATGAAGGTTCCTTCATTTTGACAGTCCCAGCATTGAACAATAAGCCCCCATAAATTTTCAATAGGGTTTAAATCAGCAGACCGAGCGGGTCATTGAAGGACGAATGTCATGGTGCAGGTTGAACGACGCCATAGTAGCACGGGCCGTGTGTATCCATACATTATCTTGAACATAAGTAATGGGCGGGAATTCTGTTGCAGGATACACTACGCGCACAGTAGGCAGCATCACTTCTGCCAAAAGCGTAAAGTAGCCCTATTCCCTAACGACGCCAGTTCTCCGACGCCGTCGAGGCTCATCTACCCCCATAAGTTTACTGTTATGCGACCTGACAAGTTTTGAGGCACGATATAAAGCAGCAAAAGAACTAGGTAGTTGGTGTAAAACCGTTCTCTTCATAACGACGAATCATTTCTGTTATTTGCGCGGCGGTTAGAATTGGTCGTAGTCCTGAATTATTTCTATGATCTGTTCAGTGCCATTCTTCGCCGTGGCGCCGGATCTAAAACCTCACAGTGAATCGCGATATATTGAGTTCTCGTGATCTATTAGACAAGTCCGTCCGTCCGTCTGTGGTGCTGTTTCAGCGGCCAAACCGTAAGAGATAGATATAGAGAATATTTAAGTTATAAGTTAAGAATAGTCTGATAAGACTACAAACCGGATTTGAGTAACGTAGCACTTCCGGTTTTCGAGAAATCACGAATTTCAAACGAAACCACACAAAATCTCCGAAGTTCTCAATTAATTAAATACATTTTTTTTTAAAATCAGGTTTTGGTGAATATTTGGTTCACTGGTTTGCTAGTATTTCACTAATACTTGTCCATCTTCAAGAGAAATATTATTTCAGCCCTTTGCTCCAGGGTCAAACTTGTTATTTTATTTCGTTACTAGTGGCCCGCCCTCGCTTCGCTTCGGTGTAGAGCTGTAGTGTAGACTATACTACTATAGTTTTTGTTCTCAGGCGTGTATTGTACACAATTAATTTATTTATTTAATTCTTTTTCTATGATTCTTTTTTAATTGAATAGGTAATAATGTTAACTTTTTTAAATTAGGGATGAGTGAGAGTATTATAAACGTAAGAGTAAACAAATATAATCATAATGCTCCGAACTGCTAAGCTATCAGGAGTCACACGTATTATTGTGAGTAAACCATAAAAGATAGACATATGCTGTTGCAGGATATTTTTTAGACAATTTTATGTAGAATATTTCCGTCATACATGATTTTTATATAACTTTAACCATTAAGGCTGCACACGCGACAGAAGCTTAAAAAATGGAGTAACTTCTCCCGTTTTCCCAACATTTCCCTTCACTACTCAGCTCCTATTGATTGTAGCGTGATGAAAAGTATACTATAACCTGCCCAGGAGTATGAAGAATAATTGTACCAAGTTTCGTTAAAATCCGTTGAGTAGTTTTTGTTTCTATAAGGAACATACACACAGACAGACAGACAGACAAAAAATTTACTGATTGCATTTTTGGCATCAGTATCGATCACTAATCACCCCCTGACAGTTATTTTGAAAATATATTTCATGTACAGAATTGATCTCTCTACAGATTTATTATAAGTATAGATGAAAATATTATTCGTAAAATTTTGTTCTTGTCTTAACAATATTTTTTTATAAATGTCAACAAAAGAAGTTGTGTATTTTATAAATAAAAAAAAAGGTGTAAGTAGTTAAATACACCCACTTTTTTCAAAATTTCATAGCTTTTCGACTTGGTTTTCGGATATTAGTTTTTGGTTACAGTCTTAACATTCGTTACAATTGGAAAATTAAACTATTGTTTGTTACTCAATCACACAATAACTACGGATTTGAATGAAATTTGGTACGCATATATAGAGCAGGTACTTTTATTCCCGAAAAATGTTAAGTGCCTGTGGGTATCCCAAAAACCAAAGTCAATGCGCACGAAGTCGTGGACGGCCGCTAGTTATCTATATCAGAAGAATTTTAGGGATTGGAAGGGCCCGGAACATGAAATGAAAGTCTCATAGATAGATAAAGTATCAATTTACTGAATACAATAAATATCGATACAAAAGTTTTCGTGGACTTTGGTTTTGTATTAGGTACATCGTTTAATTAGATTTTCTTGTGCAGATAACAATGACTTCTTTATGAATCTCCTTAAGCTCCATAGAACCGGGATACTTTGACCACGGGGAATTATTTTTGTAAGTAAACCGGGAAAGCCATTCAGAAATGTTGGTTGTCATTCATATTTTAATATACAATATAGGTACTGTAAGTACATGACCCTAGACTGGCAAACATCTTTAGTGGTGTCAAATTTTCTCCCGTTTGGTACAAAGTTACTTACCTAACACGATCAAAATAACCCGTTCCTACGGTGTGGAATTAATCACTAACAATACTCACATATTAATATATTTTGTGCAAAAAATACAACTATCGCATGTTTTGTAATCATAACAGTATTAAAATACAACAATAAATAATAATTAAAAACAAATTCGAGATAAAACATGGAAAAAAGATTGTTACGTTTTTAGATAATTTCACGTGGTTAATGATAATTACAAAATTTCCTATTAACACAGGAACAGTTCGACAATTATTCGACAGGCCTATGACATAAACAATAGTAATTAGCGATTGCAATCGCGATAGGATTTCTGACTGAGTTTTTTGTATAGGTAGGTAAACGCCATCGAATCACTTAAAGTCAGTTGTTTAATCTAGGACTACTGACTAAAAAACACCCTTTAATCATGCTTATGGCCAGAAGGGCCTTACAAGCTTCATCTGAAGCGATCATCCCCCGAGAGGGGGATGATGAAAAACATCATTTTATATGTATCGAGAACAGCAATGGCACCTCCATTGTGTGTTCTGTTGTTTACATTTTTATTTTTTTAGAGAAAATTGAAGGGTATTTTTCGTTAAAAATTGTTAAAATGCAACAAGATAACAGACCTGACACTATAAGAACGGTTTCAGACTAGCGTTTTTTTCTGCGCGTATACGATTGTTTCGACATATGCGCAACATTACGCGCTAAAACAAACTGGACTCGGGAATATTATTTCAGCTCCGGCTCGCGTATATAAGAGCTTACAAGCGCGTCAACGCTCGTACATAATCATAATCAATCATTTATTCAGTTTAGGCTGTTACAAGCACATATGAATGTCTAGAAGCTACGCCATCGGTTCGTAAATCTACGGCGGTAGATCTTGTACTGAGAAGACCCGACAAGAAACTCAGCAAGGGCTGTTTTTTTCTCCATGTTTTATTATTTACAGTCGTCAAGTTGAAAAATGACTTCAGCGATGATTCATGAAGTCACCTTGCATTACATAATGTGAAATTATACATTAATTGTTCACCAGCATTTAGATTGTTGTGTCACACAGTATAAATACAAATAGAGTTATTTATAATAGGTGTAAGTAAAAATTTACATCTTAAATATTAAAGTAGTTAGGGCAGACTCATCTCCGCTGGCAGCACTCGTTCACGAGCATGACGCAATAACCAGCCATCGCTTCGCTCAACCATATTTTAGGGAACATAACGACCCGCCTCACACGACACGAGTTGCGCGTGTGGCAAAAGTTGCGCCTATACCTACGCGCTTCCGAATACGAGCTTATATGCGTATGTAAAACGCTAATCTGAAACCGTTCTTATGATCTCGAACCGCCAGGTAAGTTCCGTTGTTAGAGCGAGACATCATACGATAACTGGAGTTGCATCCCGTTTTAGAGAGTTCATAAACTACGGCCTCTGGTTTCATTTGATACTTCTTTCTGGCAATGTTATTACAATTCTCGACAAGTTAAGTAATAACTTAGTCGGTCTAAAACTATTTATGGTAGACAATGCTTTTTTCAATGAATAAAAAAACAGAATTATACTGACTACAATGAATGAGCAGTTTTTCATAAATAGGTATTTGCACCGCGACCATGATTTTATATTCTAAAGACTAATTTAGAATACAGATGTGCTGTTATTACTCCATAATCAATAATCATACATACGGAAGAATTTTATACTTAATTCATTCATTTGCGTGTAAATCTGATTGTTATTGTTTGTCGTTACAATACAACCATAGTACATTAAACAGCTTAATTATATCTGTAATACTAAATTGATTCTATAAGACGTGTTAATATTTTGCAGCGGCGTTTAGTTATGTTAAGAATTTATATTAGTTATTATAACAAATATAACATAAGTATCAAAAATCTAAATTCATCAAATTTTTCTAAAGAGGTTTTTATTATTTGTTTTTATTACAACTAACGACGTGTGTCTTGTCTTGTGTAACGTTAATCTATTTAATGCAGTCTATTCTATACGTCTATAATACTGTCGTGTTTTTTGTCGGAAGCCTTGAGTTTCTCTTGCATTTGTGTTAACATGTCTTGCATACGACGTATCTGAAACAAAGAAGTGCTTTTATATAATTTCAGGTTAACAATATAAGAAAAGAATCTTTGTAATTATGTGGTTCATATTTGAAGTTTTATTGTTATTATTGTACGGCCTATTAAAAATATAAATTTATATGATAATAAATTAATGTCAGTCCTCTGCTGCTTACTTCTTCGTCCTTCTGTAGAAGCAGGCGGTCCGTGTCTGTGATCACTACCTCATTGTTATTACCCATCGAATCTCGCTTCAGTTTCCTGTAAACAAAATTATTTATATATCATTTACCAAAAAGCCTTATTTATGGTGCTTCTGTCTGTGTCTTAATTTAGCTTAATTGAGCTCCTGCTAGACGGTGCTGGACCTATATCGATAAGATTTTGTATGAACATAGCAAATTTAGATTCACAACTGACTCGATTGGTGGAGCTGCAGTTAGGTAGGATCTTGGTAGGACAACGTTTGTTAGGTGTCCGCTAGTATACTAGTTTAGTTGGGAGATCGGGCCATGAATGACCCACCACGCGAGCTCAATGGTCTGGTGGGTACTAACGACTTCAGATACATCCTACGAACTCCCACGATTGCAGACATTGTTTAACAATGTATATATAATAATAATGTTCTGTAGAGAATGAAAAGGGGAGACGTCTTACGATATTTTGAACTTTTGCGGATTATACCTTAATTGAGGCTGTCAGCGCAAAAGTGGCCTAACTCTCATATTCTGATTCATCTTCTACAATTAAATAAAAATGTGTTATAATTTAATTGAATTTCGGCCTATCTTTTGTTTCATCAGGCGTCAATAGATGGCGTTGCAATAGTTCTTTTTGCATTGATTTTTTTCTCTCAACGTAAACTTCATAAGTGGCCTTAGCCGCTTAATAAGAATATGAATAATTGAGGGTTAGGCCACTTTTGTGCTGACAGCCGCTATAAGGCCCATTGTATGGCTAAAAAGATAGGTATTGAACTTACCCTCGTTCCCTCATTGCGTGCTGCGATATCTGCGAGATGCACTGCGCGCGGAAGTTCTCGTAGTGCACGTCCTGCGTGACGTCCTTCAGGTCCTGCATGTGCGTTGATATCAGCATCGTGCGCAGCTTCGTGAAGTCAGAGTGGCGGGGGTTTTCCACTGCGAAACAAGACAAATGTTGGGGTCATGCTGATGAAGAATGGAATCTTAATTAATATAGGTACCCCTAGCACGAACCATTATCGAATTCGAATAGTTTGCAAACCGAAATGTCAATGTCAATTTTTGTATGGAAACTTGAACAGCTGCGGCACAAAGTACGTAATGACAATGACATTTCGGACTCGCAAACGATACGAATTCGATATTGGTTCGTGCTAGGGGTACAGTTTTGATTATAGATTTCTATTCAAACATTTTTTAAATTATGACGAGTTAATAAATTACATTGTGGGTCCATCCTCTCAGGAATAATGTGTGCGAGCTCAGATTAATGATAGTGCGAGAGATGTCGACATTTTCGATCTGTTCTTACTTGATGCGAGTTAAATTAATTTGTTTGTTTGTGCATCTTTTCCTCAATTTACACTTATTCAGCGCTTAATGTGAAATTAGAGTAAATAGAATTTTCTGTTTAATAAAAAAAAGCAAGGCGCCATCGCCTTCAGTTAGCGTGCTCGTATGTATGATGTATGGTGATGCCCCAGGAGTACTCTCAGCCGAGCACATACCTGCGCCTACCTCCAGCACGGTGTCGTCGGTTATCACAGCCTTGTGCCCGCAGTCCTGCCGCTTGACCTGTAGTGCTCGTATGAATAGTGTATGGTGGTGGAGTGCCGTCCACGATGCCCCAGGGGTACTGTCGGCCGTGCACGCGCCTGTCGCCCACCTCCAGCACGGTGTCGTCGGTTACCACCGCCTTCAGCCCGCAGCCCTGCCGATTGACCTGCCGCGCTCGTATGTATGATGTATGGTGGTGGAGTACCGTCAACGATGCCCCAGGGGTACTGTCGGCCGCGCACGCGCTTGTCACCCACCTCCAGCACGGTGTCATCGGTTACCACCGCCTTCAGCCCGCAGTCCTGCCGCTTGACCTGCCGCGCTCGTATGTATGATGTATGGTGGTGGAGTACCGTCAACGATGCCCCAGGGGTACTGTCGGCCGCGCACGCACCTGCCGCCCACCTCCAGCACGGTGTCGTCGGTTATCACCGCCTTCAGTCCGCAGTTCTGCCGCTTGACCTGTTGAGCTCGTATGAATGGTGTATGGTAGTGGAGTACCGTCCACGATGCCCCAAGGGTACTGTCGGCCGCGCACGCGCCTGACGCCCACCTCCAGCACGGTGTCGTCGGTTACCACCGCCTTCAGCCCGCGGTCTTGCCGCTTGACCTGTCACACTCGTATGTATGGTGGTGGAGTACCGTCCACGATGCCCCAGGGGTACTGTCGGCCGCGCACGCGCCTGCCGCCCACCTCCAGCACGGTGTCGGCGGCCACCACCGCAAACGGTGCCGCCGCCTTCAGCTCGCGGTCCTGTTGCTTGAACTCTTCATCCTCATCGCTGTCGCACTCGGGAAACTGATATACCTGCGCCAAGGAGATCATAATAGTATTTTTTTTCTTATGTTAACTCTTTTCCATTCTTCTACCATAAGTTCTGCTTTATTTAACTAATAGGGTGGGTGGACCATGGAAGGCCACTGTAACGAATAAACAGTTATAATTAGTTCATTTACTGGATAAATGAAAGAAACAAATTATTAATTAACACTTTGTGACATTGTGTAACGTATAAATAACTTTTTATATTCTAAATGATATCACTATTTATTAAACTTAACTTTATTAAGTTCTTCCAAACGGCCTTACTAGGAACAGGGATCTATACAAGGCCAATATTATAAATCAGTTGTTCAACTTAAAACTACAGTTGTAATTATCGAAATATCCGCTTTTACTAAAACTGCATAAAAAGCTTTTCCATTTAAACAAAACATTAAAGGATTAACAGATAATAATCTTCTTTAAAAAACTCAACGAATATTCCTTGAACACTATCGAATAACTACGAATATATTAATGAAAATTATTTAAAAAATATACGTATGAGTATTATATCAATAACAAATAGTTGCTAATGTTTTTAGGAATGAAATTATATATTACAAAATTGGCCTATATAAGGGCCTTTTTATGGGTCCATTCTTTGTAAGGCCAAAATGTTTCTAAGAAGGTTAAGTTGAATAACCCTTATGAATATATAAAATTATAAACATCAAACTTTTCCGGTACGTATTTATAACCATAAACTAAGTGTTCATATATCCATAATATGTAAATGTTCTTAGTAAGGTCCATATACCCTAGCAAGGCCAACTGTCGATTTTTTGATTGGCCTTATAAAGAACTACCGACTTTCATAGGACACTACCGATATTTAAACTGAAATCGAAGCAAAGTTATTATTACTTTCTTTAGTACCATGACAAATCCTTATATGACAATTTACTGTAAAAAAAATAGACAATAATAGGTAATTTACATAACAAATTAACCTTTAGCTGTGCGCGCGAATTATAATTATACCGTCGACGACCAAAGTCGACGAAGCGAGGGACAGCATTAACAAAATAGCACGCGAGCGTCTAGCCGCTGCGTTCATGAACTTGATGGAGCTTAGTGTAAGTGGGAGGAATTTATCGTCAAATGAAAATAACAAAAATATTTTTAAAGTTAGCCTTCAAAGGCGCATGGCCTGCTATGGTCCACCCACCTTATTTGATGTCTTTTTTTCATGATAGTAAGTAATGAACTTCCTATCCTCGTAAATAGAAAGTGGTATATTTGTAATTGGATATTTTACGTCTTTTCTATAGTTTTCTTAACCGACTTCAAAACGAGGTAAGTGTCGGGGTGCGACCGCAGTTAAAAAATAATGACCTGAATTTGGTGTTCTTCTAGGTCTGATAGTATGCGCGCTTTGAGTCGTTTCACCTCGGCGGCAGTGAGGGAGTCTGCTTTAGCGATCACTACCACAATGTTCACCTTGCGATGGAGCCGCTTCATCATTTCCAAATCTACTTGCCTCAAACTGAAACATACGCCAAAAAATTTCAATTTATAAATAACTAAGGAAAAACATTAAGAAGACGTTATACACACAGAGTGAATAGTGTTACTAGAAGTAAAATGACCTTTGTCAATATTAGTGAATGTTATGGTTATTATTTTTTTATTTTGGTTATGATTTTGAATTTATACTTATATGAGTATTTCAATAGTTGACATATACATTATTAAGTATAATTTAAGCAAATTCATATAACTATTTAGTCCATTTCCAGTCCAACCCAAGATTATTATGGCCCCATGGCCGAAATCCGAACTAATTTTAGGAAGGTATAAATAAGCCTTTTTTTATTGAAACAGGAAGGAGGTAGGATATAGGAAGAAGCCTATTAAATTTCCTTATTACTCTTTCCGAGTTATTATTCAGAGAAATTATAATGTTCCTTACTTCGACGAAACGAACTTCCCTTAGCGATTTTGGCGGTCTCCAAAAGCGGGTAAACCTTTTTCTTTAGAGCCGGCAACGCTCATGCGTCCATGGGTGGCAGTGATATGACAACTTACATCATCGCTCACGAGCCTTCCCTGACCCCATTTCTTAGCCCTTTAGTACGCCCGTAGTTTAAATTGACTAAATAGATGCATGAATACGAATAACGACGAAAATATATAGTTGTGTGTCATAAAATTAATTTGTTCGATTGCAATCTTCTGAAAAATTACTTCCCGTCCCGATTCCGGTGCAGTACCCCAATTTAAGTGAGAAATCAGCTGTGCCCTAGCTACATAAAAAAGTGACGACATCCGGCGAATCAAATTCTAATTTTTATCAATCATATTAATGTGGGCATGCCTAGAAGGTATAAAGTTTCAAATCAAATCAAATCATCTTTATTGTTAAGTTTATCAATAATTATTAATTATTGTGGCTACTACCTACTTGTATTGTAAATTATACTTAAATTATTGATCAATAATAAATAATTGTGTCGAGGCGTTAAACTATCACATATATTGTAGTCTTAGACAAGAAGTGGGAATGTAAAGTCTGTCTTTCTGTTACTCTTTACCTAACGCATGAACAGCTGAGCCCTTTTATCTTGGGATTGAAAAATTTTATGAGAAATTGTATAAAAAAATATGAGAAAGGTATAATGTTAGTGAATTAGCATTTATTAGTCCTAAAAGTTAATTTTGATAAGTAAGGCATATCTAGGTAATTTGTTTGTCAATATTTCTAACGTTATCCAGTCACGTCGTCGCAAGTACGATTTCAACACAGTATGCAGTACGCTTCCTTAATATTATGAGATATTTAGCAGCTATCTTTGTAACCGCGACCGTCGATGACCTTATTTAATATAATACAACTAACCGATTCTCAGAAAATGTATGTCACTCTAATAGTATGTACTATTAGATGTAATCTAATAGTACACACTTCTTTTATAAATTTTTAAAGTATCATTTGTTTGATATTTCACTTAAATAACAATCACAGATAAATACCCATTTCCGAGGAGAAAATACTGGAGAAAGTGTGCAATGAACTGAACAATGAAAGGGTAAAACACAAAGGAATTGACGGTGACTCTTCTACTATTAAAGTGCATTTGAGACAACTATGAATTATTATGTTAAACGTATTGGATGCTTTAATAGTAGTACACTCAAGTTCCAAAGCGTTGAAAAAGGATGTAATTACAGCTTCAATTAGTTGTATGATCACTAATCTTGTCCGGATAGACTTTTATGGAACAAATACAAATTACAACAATTTATAACATGTTAAGTTCTGTAATATTGTTATTTTTATACTTAAACTGCTAATAAACCATTTTATTCAGATATTTTTAAGCGAAACAATTTTGATCAGCTGTTTCCATTAATTATCCTTTAGTTGTTTATTTAATTACGTACTAGGTATTTTCATTATTTGTCAATTTTATTTTAGGTTAATAATTTCTTAATAATAAGCATCAATATAATTTCAGGTGTACTATTTTGGATTGCACAACTCTTACATAATATGTACATGATTGTTATAAGAAGATGCAAATGATTGAATACGGTACCTGTGAGCCCAGGGCGGGACGAAGTAGAGGCAACAGTGGACCCTATTGTCCTGCATGTGCCGTCGGTTGAGGCCGCTTTCGTCGGTGAAGTACTGGCGGAACTGCTCATCGATGTAGGCGGAGCACACGCGCCACGAGTCCTCACAGTTGATGGCGTCGCCGAAGCCCGGCGTGTCCACTATCGTCAGGCGCAACTTCACCCCGCGCTCCTCAATTTCCATCGTCTTCTTCTCTATAGATGTGGTCTTTTCTATTCTATCTGCAATTTTAAGACGTTGATGTAGCTTGCTTTTAGAACTGTTATAACTGGTATGATCCAGGTCATAGGCTCTCACTCTCAATTGATAAGCATCCATATTTGTTAACAATAAAACGAAAATTATTTCTTAAATAAGTACATAGAAATACATCAGAAATAATCTTCGAACCCACCTTGCGCATCGAGTATTTTTCTGTTTTTGTAGAGATCTCCGAGGAACAGGCTGTTGATGAGCGTGGACTTGCCGAGGCCCGACTCGCCGACCACCATGAGTGTGAAGTCGAACCCGCGCTTCACCGACTTGCGATGCACCTGCTCCGGTAACGTCGCGAAGCCGATGTAGTCGCGCTCGCCTCGCTCGCGTTCTGAAGACAATTCAAAGAAATATACGTAATGCAAGAAGAATTGGCACGATGGTTCCCGAAACAAAATGGTAACGACACGTATGTAGGTAATTTAATTTTATGTTTTACTAAAGTTGGCAATAAAATGTTCCCTATTAAATTAATTTTAAATATATTGCAGATATTGCAACTGCATTCAACTTGAAACACAAATTTCCTCAATCAGTTCCAAACAAAACACATTTATAAAGTTATTTGGTAATATCCTTTCAGATACTTGTATTGCGCAAGTAATTGCAGTACGTCCGCGTCACGGTGGTATTGTAGTAGGGAGTCCTTATTTGCGGAGGATAGCCCGTTTCTCTAGCTAGAGGAAGCAGGGCATTGCAGCGCGCGCGGCGGAGTGGAACACGACAGGTTCCCTGCTCGGCGCGGCTCGCCGCCAGGGACGCTCATCGGGGTCACTTAGCGGAAGCGACGGACGTGCCTATCACTTGACCACAATAAACAATTCGATTCTCACTGATAACTACCACGTCTATTGGTTTTGGTAAACGTAATCATTATCTACTCTCATGCACTCGTACAAGTCTGAATCATGCCCTGGCAGTTTTGTTTTATTGAAAACCCTAGTAACCCTTAAATAAAATCTTATCTAAAGTAGGATACGTTTAATCCAACGAAATAGTCGTTTGGGCAATAACATGTTTCTTAAGTATAGGTATATATAGGTGTATGTATCATTATTTCCAGAAGGAGAAAAGTATTATTTTTGATATTTATTTATCTTACTACATACACACTGTAAGTAAAATGCAAATGATTAACGAACATGCAAACTAGTCATAATATTGGTGCAATGTAAACTATTTATTTATTCCGGGAGTGCAATTTTATTTCATAGTTGGTCAGAATTTTATCAATGGAATCAATAACGTTTAAATTCCCATATGATTTTCAATGTACCTGAGAATAATTTGTAATGCATTGTATTAAAAAACATCGATGGTTCGTTCGTTCAATTGTTGTTTTAACGGGGCAGTATTTTATATTGCGCCGTTAAAATTCCAAACGAAAAGTCCACTTGATTAGGTTTGTCATATTAGCTAATTCTTGAGAAAATCACCTCATGTTAGCTAAAGTACCGTCATCGTCACGCAGCTGATGACTAAAACTAATAGGTTGCTTCTTATACACCTCATTTAAGTCTTTCTCACGGTTATACGCAATGTTGATGTTTGAAACGTATCTTTCTTTCAATAGTACAACGACACAATCAACAAACCGCAAAAACCAAACATCATTGTTATTATTGATGGATGATGGAAATATCTATTGTTAGATGAACATTTCTGAAACATGAGCATGAGAAGAAAACATTTCTAGTTTATTTTACGTTCGCTATTCTGATTATAATATTTATTTGCAGGTGATAAAAATAGATAAACCAAATCGAATTTAATCTTTCCTTCATTTATTGTATTTGAAAAGTTGGTTTTCTTTTCAGAATCAACGGTGTAGGTATCTTAAAGTTAAAGTACAGGGTTTTTTAGACTTCCATTTAATGAAACAGTTTCGAATGTACCTACCTATCTGACAGGTCTGTTGATAAGTTTTTATTATATGAAAGGAAAAAAGTGGTAAAAAGTTAGCAGCTACCGCATGATTTATTGCTCTTCCTGTTACCCGTCAATTGTAGGAGACATGGAACCGTATAATCATGTAAAAAAGTCGACAAAGACCGTTATGGAATGCACATCAGTTTTTTTCCAGCGTTATTAGATTTAACATAATTATAAAACTATTGAAAAGGTCGAATAAAAAATGCTGAAAAATACGCGATTATTTCTTAACGTGCTGGACGAACAGTCAGCTGATGTTACATGAGAGTAGAATTACGATAACGTATATACCTATATACCACCATTTAATATCCGATTTAGTATTTTTTTAAATAGAAATATTTAGAGTAACTACGTTTATAAAAAGGTATGGGATATGAAATCAAAATATACTTCACATTCCATACTAACTATATTCCAAGATTACCGTTGGCTCAAAGGAAACCGAATATTTGTAAAAAAAATAGTAATAGATAAAATGTAATAACTTTCGCATTTTTTTAAAATAAGGGAAGAAATGTTAAAAAAAACCTTTCCTAGTTATCCTATAGTAAATAGTGAAATGATATTTTATGTAGGTATTAAATAACAACGAAAAGAAAAACTTAATATAATAAATCGTGTCTTAAAATTTCTTGAAACACAACTAAAACAATAAATACTCTCAGTTTCGAGTACTTTAATTTTATTCATTAGAATTTAAAAGAAATTGAACTCTACATTGCCCTTCCTTTATAATGTTTTAGGAAGGTTTAATTAAAGTTAATTCACCAATTAACTCTTTTAAGCTGCAAACCCATTTTTACTGGAATGAAGCTTCCTTTTGTTTGGTGTTAGATATAATAGTTTGATTAGAGTACTAATAAAAATAGCGTGTGACTTACGAATTTTTATGACAGTAAATGGCGATTTAGTGTTTTTATTTTGATCCTCGTTTATATCTCTATGATCTTTCATATTGTTTACATCTTTATCAGGCTTATCGCTTATGTTGACATCCACAATAGTAAACCCATCACATTTTTCCATTATCGTTTTCGGTCGTTCATGGGGAGGGGTGTGCAATCTCGGCATTCTTATGTGTGCGAATATTGAGTAAGCTAATGTTTTGCAGGCACAAGTTTCTATAAAAACCGCGGGAACGCGGCCTCCGGATATCTTTTGTTATCTGAAGTATTCTGCAGGTATCGTGGTAGATATTGGAGTTGCTGTTACGCGGTCGTCGCTGTTTGAATGCTGGTCAGACTTCGCGGGCGCGGTTCGTATCGTGCGCGTGCGCCAGCGATCGCGCGCTCTTCCGGCCGCGCTCGCGATACTACTGCGTGCCTCTCTACCAACTAGCTCTTGTCAGGTAATGGTTGGACGTGAGTTAATTTACGTCATTAAACTTCTTGTCATCCAATTAAAAACTTTATTAATACTTTCGGCTTCTTTCGAATTAATTTCAAACTAGCAGAGCAACGCATCACCATGGGAAAGAAGATATTTATTGATGATAGTGTATTACATAATTGTCATGTGTTAAAATTATGTCGAAATAGTGCTAAGCACTTATTATTGTCAACTGCTATTGATGTACTCAGATTGCATTTCTTTCCTTTTGTGAATGTGATCGATAAACCGTGATGTCAGACGGGTTTGCTTGCTCAATTGAGAGATGCTGCGAGTCAGCGGGATTCATCCGGTGACGCAACCGGTGTGTTAGTGGTCACTGTGCACCATATAGGTAGTTAAGCATGTGTGATGTAGATTATATTCGCCTATTTCTTAACCAGATTAACAACTAGGGTGACGGTACTTTGGTCTGATCTCTGACCTTCTTACCCTTTTCAAATTGCATTAAATCATACGTATTTTTATTGCACATGCAATGAAGTGAACTATTGCAACAGTTAACGTAAATAATAAAAATAATGAATGATATTAATTGTTTCATAGTTTTATTTAGCCTAAATATTAGGTTGTTTTTATTTTCATTGACATGTTAATGGATTTCTACTAGAGCAAATATCCAAACGACTGAGAGTAGGTTTATGGCTACCAACGAAATTAACTTAAAAGGAACGCAGAAAGGAAAAGATGCTTTTACTTTGTCTTACTAACCAGAAAAACCTCCTACGCTGCAGGTGTTATCTCCGGTCTATTGTCGGGCCATGTCGTTTCTTTGTAACGCCACGTAGGTGTATAACTACCTACTTTAAATATTTGATGAACGATCGCGAATGTCGTGCTCATAATAGTAAAGATTAGTTCATTCAAATAGGTGTAGGTGTACCTTCAAACGTAAGTTTTAACGTAACGTCAGAATCAATGGATATTTTTATAAAAATCGATAGCTGTAAATTACCCCACTCTATTTGATGTTAAAAGTGAGAGTGGAATTTATTTTCAAAGACAGCTGACGCGTCTTGTAAATCGACTGCTCCAAACATTAGCAGTATTCTTGTTGGTCTGAATCCCGTCCCCTACGCCGTGTAGCACTGGAAACCTTATTTACTACGATACTACAATTCGCTATGCTCTGCCCCTCTTAAATTATATGATAATTTTACTTCAAATCTTCAAATTCTACGGCAGTTACTACTATGAATGACATGATTATCAAACTTTGGAATAGTTTTTTCATCAAGTACTATCTTTATAAGCATTGATACATTTGCCGCCACATCCCAGGATGGGGAACAGACTGGACAGCATTTTATTTTACTTTATTGTAGATAATTGTTAACCTATGTCATTTATAAATAATAAATTTATTTTCGTTCTACTATCGTACTTAGTTGCATGTATACATACATGGTTCTAATGTTATGCAAGGTTATTATATCACTTAGGAAAGATTCCAACTTTGATTCAATATCAAACTGTCAACCATACTGGGCAACGGTCAGTTGCACAATTATTCAATAGTCATTTTATATGAAAATATTCAAAAACTAGGGACCCGTAAGACGTCTATGACCTCTAGGCCTATTCATTAACGTTCTTCTTTCGTTTTCGTTCTGTTTGACGGATGGAAGTGATAATCACCGAGCTATTTACTAATCCAGTCCCCATAGCATGAGCACCCCAATTTACACTGTGTCACGTTTTTTATCGCATCTGTCAAACTCCATAGTATTTTGACAATTATGCGTGATAAAAACGCGTTATATATCATATCGACCGCGATATGATATATAACGCGTTTTTTGCATGAGCACCGGCTCATGCTAGGGGGGCTGTACTGCTTTATTATAACGCTACTAAGAAACTTATCCTGAAAAGGATCGATGGATATGCAATTTTCTCTTTACACAAGAGTGCCAATACTGGCATGGTTCTCTAAACTTAAAAATAAATTTAACATCAGTCTCTCCTTTTCATTCTGTATAGAGAATGACAAGGATATACTACTGTCAAATTTAAGTTTAGGTTTAGAGAATCATGCTAGAATCGACACCACTGTAAATGGAAAAAAAATAGCGGCTTGCCTAAAAAAATAAAAAGTCCTCAAAACCCGACTGCAGTTCTATCTATCGGGTAGAGTTGTAATTAAGTTTCTTATTTTTTTTTTAATTTTCTATGCTACTTTCATATTTTTTTAACGCTAGAAGCTTTTACGAAAATTTAAAAAAAAGTTAGATAAAATAGGTAAAGTCGTTCTCAAATATAGTATAAATAAAGAAAATAGGGATCCATTATAAATAATATATGGAGTTATCTAACGGAAAAGTTTCTATAAATATATAAAACGTTATAAAAATATCAAAAAGCTTATTACATAATACTCACCCATAGTCATTTTTCAGGAATTGCGTGTAATGCAGGTTTGCATAGATCTTGAGAAAATTTTACATTAAATTTTCATAAAGGTCTATAAATTTTAGTATTAAATTTCATCTTACTACGAAGATCATCATATCCGACTACGAGCGTATTAAAGTTTACAAAACCGACCGATCGATACGAATATAGCGAATAAAGGATTCACTTATATTTGCGTGCAAACGTCACTGAATTTAATAGTAAATCATCTAGATATTCACTGAGTCCATGACATTTTGTAATCAATAAGCATTAGAAAAATCATCTTAAGACGATGATGCACAAAAATATCACTGCAGTTTCGTTTAGTTGTCGACATTATCTTCTACACTATACATCTAAATGAGACTGAAATAAAGAGTCGCGCGACACCTAAAATAATAATATCACGATCGCTAATCCTATAAATTGTATACTTAATCAAAAATAGTAGAAAAATCGAAGAAAAATAAAATCACATTGTTTGTGCGCCGTCCTGTGCGTGTTGCGTTACGTAATGTGAGGGTTCCCGGGCCGAGCGCGCCCTTTCGCCTCCGCCCGCACCCGCCCGCCTCTCCACGCTCCTGCGCGGGAAAATTGCGAGTCCGGAGGGCGTCACTGCGCGCGCAGCCCTACCCGGTCGATATTATGGGCCTACCACAGTAAATATTAACCCCAAGCTAAAGCAGTAACGCAACTTCATTCATAAGTTGAAACGATGTTATGCTCTCTTAAAAACACTTCGTTGGTGTCGTCTGTGTGAGGAGGTTCGTTACGTTCCTTAAAATATGTTAAATTTCAAATTAACATAACGTCTATTTTCTCAGTTATGAAATGAAAGGGATGGCTGGAAGCGAAAAGTTACAAAATTGCAAGTTACAATAAGGGGTCATTCTTAAAGTACTATTTTCGTAATTTTCGACGTGAGACGACACATATTTTCCATCTAGAAATTATTTTATTAAAAGTTTCGATAATAAATTAACCAATAAAACAAATTAAAACCCATACCGCCTCATTACAAAAGTAGACTAAAGTTAAACCTGGAATAAAACTGATGCTGTCACTTGTGTTTACTAAAAACAGAGACGACATAAACAGAAGGTTTCTACCAAGACTAATTTTAGTCCGCGTTTTGGAATAAGGCATAAAGGGTTTTAAATATTTTAAACTTTCTATGATAATAGTTTAAAAGTATTAGATTTTTAAATGTGGCGTCACCAAATTTCCCTCACACCCGTTGTGACACAATATCACACTTCCCCAACCCCCTCTTTAATGTGTGAAGTACATAATGGATGACCTCTAAGACCATGCCGGTATACATACCGTTTCGTATAATTTACTGTGGCTATGCCCTCGCCCCTGCTATGTTTGTGTTCCTCGACAGCTCTTGCCCTAGATGTTGGATGTAGCACGCGCCCCACTGAGATTCAAGGTCGCCGGAAATATTAGATATTGGCATAATGCAATAAGGATCATTTCGAAGTCAAGAAATCAATTTAAAACTATACCATAATAGTATTTCAATCAGCTTTCTTATCAATATAATTTTTAAATCCTCGAAATCGGTCCATCCGTTGCGTTTTTATAACTCTTTTTATAAGGCCTATATTTATCAACAGGCGGGATGTACGTCACAGAGCTCGATCCGCTCGAAGTCGCGCTATACTACAAAGCGCACAATGCAACTGGGTATCTTGTTCATGTTGTTAAATTAAATAGGTAATGAAGTTAAAAGTAGTGTATTATGAATCAATGTACTAATGATACAGTGAAAAAACAAAAAAAAAATTTTTTAGGGTAGGTCCCCTGCATGTTAACGTGGAGATTGTGTGGGTGTTTTTCATCGTCTACCCCATCGTCTGAGGTATTGTTGAATAGGTCCAACAATTAGATTAAGTAATTGATTATACTCCTTATGAAATATATTGTAATAAAGAAGAGCAACTACTAAACCCTACGCTGCGCGTGGCACGACATGCACTTGGCAGGTTTTCAGTTAAAATTTCTGCCGATATTTAAATAATCGCCAATACTGAACGCAACATCAACATTATATATCCCTATTCCTCTTTCTCATTCAGGCTATATGTCCAACTCCTTTACTCTTCAAGCCATACGGCTGTGGAATGACCTACCCGACTCCATCAGAAGATCTCCAATATATGTAATAAACTTATATTTAAAAGGAATGTTCGCACTCATCTGCTTCAAAATTTAAGATAAAGAGTCACTATTAATCATCATCATGTGTATAGTTATGTGTATATATATATTTAAATATAATTGTGGTATGTGTATTCCTTTCGTAGTATGTATTTATATATGTATCTATGTTACTCCGTATATATTTTTAATATTATTTATTATTTGAATATTTATGTGTATATTTAGCTTTATACCGCGCCCGCACCGTTCGCGTTTTTCTTTTTTCCCAAAGGTTGACTGGGAGACAATGCTATTAGCATTAAGTCAGCCTTTTGTACCATTCATTTGTATTTTGGTCAATAAAGTTTAAAATAAATAAATATATACAACCTTAAACCCAAAATAATAAACACAACCAAACAAATTTATAAATGCCATACCATTTGCAGTATAATCGA